GCGGCGGCGCGACGCGGCGGGGCCCCCTCCCCACACCCCTTACCCCCGCCAGGGGCTCCGGGCGTGCGCCCGCCCCGTGCCCTCGGCCGCCTCTGTCTCCCGCAGGGTGGTCCCTTCCCCGCGGGTGACTCCTGGGCACTGACCGAGAGGGATCGGGTGGCTGGCGACACCAGCAGGTCGGCCCAGCGCCTCTTGCGGGTCCCCCTGGGCTACCCACGACGCTCCCCGGACCCACTGCCCGCCAGAAAGTTTGCACCGGGATGCTCCGGAGCTCTGGGAGCGCAGGTGCAGCCCGGGGTATGTGTGTGTAGGGGGGTGGGGGGGTGGGGGACCGGGGACAGGGCTCACTTCTGTTCCTTCTTGCCTCTCGCTCCTTCTGGGCCCCTTTTCTCTTTGTCCATTTGGTCCTGGAAAGGGGGCCCTATCAAGAGATTGCCTCTGGAGGTCCCGATGGCCACCTTTCGGGGTCCCAGGTGGAGCGGGTGCCCGCAGCGCTGGTAATGGGAGGGGAAGGGATATCACTTGTCCACCTCCGAGCTCATTCAAGTCTACAGAGATTTCTAAAACGGCTAATCCGGATTTAATCTGGGTACATACTGCCCCCCTCCAATGGGGAACTCTTCAATGGGGCTCTGTGAACCCCAAAAGTTGGTGCACCATTTTGTGTGTAGATGTGTTTTCCTGGGAAGCAGCCTCTCTCTCTGTCTCTCTGTCTCTGTCTCTGTCTCTCTGTGTCCTGTCTCTGTGTCTCTGTCTCTGTCTGTCTCTCTGTCTCTGTCTCTGTCTCTGTCTCTGTCTCTCTCTCTCTCTCTCTCTCTCTCTCGTTTGGGGTCAGAGAAGCAGAGCTAATGAGCATGTGGTGCATCTGTTTGCTGAGCCTGGCACAGGTTTAGAATTAGCTTTCCTATTCCCAGCCCACACCCCAACCCATTCTCTGGTGTTAATTTGAGGATCAAGGGGTGTCTAAGGTATCATTTTCCCCCTGTCAGCGTAAAGGCCCTTTTAAGAGTCATTAGCTGTCTGGTTTTGAATTTTTATTCCTTTGATGTCCCCATCTAATCCTTTGAAGGGATTTGTTACACAAGACCAAAGGAGCTGGTTAATGACTTGTCCATTTGTGCTTTTAAGAGGCATTTGTTTTGTTTTGTTTTGTTTTCTTTCCTTGCTTTAAAAGAATTGTACTTTCCTGCTGGAAATCCACCCCCCCCCCATCCCTCCAATTTCAGCCTGGTGTTTATTTACCTGAGTTTCACCCTCAGTCACCAGCATAGAAACTCAGCATGTTCTCATAAAACACAGGAACTACCGTGATCCAATAAGAATATAAACATCACTCTTCAGTCTTAGAGGTTAAGAAACCAATGCTATAAGGAGCTTGATGTGTTGTAACAAAAACCTGGCTTCTTTGATTCCCAAGAGGGGAAAAAACACCATTCCTCTATAAAAGTAGCTGTCAATGCAAACAATGGACTTCGAGTATAGTTTGTTCACTTTTAAAAAGAAAACCTAGAATTAGAGCTGAGCCCTGGTTTTCCCGAGGTTAGTGAACCATACAGGCATACAGTAAAGGAATGAATTGCATGAATTAGTGCCTAATGCTTTTCCATAGGCAGAATTTAGTCTCTAATCCTTTTATCAGAAAATAAATCTGGAGGGTTTGTCTCCTTAAAATAAGTTTCCTCTTTCTAAGGTTTTTTTTTTCTTTTTCTCCCTGTGGCTAGAAAACACATTTCTAAATAACTTTATAATGCGGCTTGCACCTGTCATAATCCATCGTTCCCTTCGTTATGTCCCCAGCGAGAGAGCAGGTTTTCCTTGAGCACCAACAAGCTAATTGAGAAATAGTTTCAACACACACTCGCCCACCCTCCAGCTTAGAAATTGTGGAGAAATTATCCCAGAAATCCCCGCTGAAGGGACACTCGGATGTAATACTCAGGATAGGCTCTGGGAAAGCATCAAATATTAATTTGACAGTGAGTCACAATCAATCACTGAGTCAGATTGTCTATCATAATAATGTGACATTATCATTAATTATAGAATGAGAGATAGACCCAGTATCTTATCCTGTCCTTCTCTATCACCTCTGAGGCCATTACCATCTCTTCTTTGTAACTTCTCCTGCCAGAGACTTCTTTGTGTGCCTGCTCAAAGCCAATTTGGATGGCTACTGTTATGCCTCCAAATACAGCTGGAGTCTTGCTAAATGAAATATGTAGACAGAAAGGGAGAATTCATGTCCATAGCCATTTTGCCTGCCATACAGTTGGTGGCCCCTACTGCCTCCTTGTGAGTCCCAAGAACAGTTCATTTTCATTCCAATCAGTTTTGCACCAGCTAAGTGTAAATTCTCCTCTTTCACAGTTGGTTGGCAGCACAGCATCTGGAGAAGGCTCCATGCATGTTGTTGAAAAGCCCAAAGTAAGACCATGGGCTGTGAACAGAGAAGAAATGCAATTCTGAATCGATGCACTTCAAAAAGGCCAAGGATGTTAGTTACCTTTCAGAATGGAGGCTGGAAGACCTGGTGTATACCTTGTAGAAACAGAGACTTCGATGAATTCTTAACACTGTCGAGTCTTAGCTGGGTGAAGTGGTGCTTGCCTTTAATCTCAGCAACTCAGGAAGCTAGGCAGGAAGATTGAAGTTTCTAGGCCAGCCTGGGCAATTAACTGAGACCCTGTCTCAAAATAAAAATAAAATAAAAAATTTAAAGGATCAGGATGTTACTGAGTGGTAGCATGTTCTAGATCCTCGGTTCAATCCCAGCACAGTAAACAAACTTAGGTCTTTATTTCCCCCACAGAAACTGGCTTGAGCTTTACATTTCCTTGTTCTAAAAGAAAATAATCTTATATTCTATCCATAAACAGTAGGGAATACTTTTATACTTTCCTGGATAGAGTTACCTGCATTTGTCAGCATGTACTATAAACACAGATCCTCAGAGTCTCACTGTTCCTAACTACAGTGGGATGGAGCTTTGTGGGCACTGGCCAATTAGGACACAAGGATACCTGCTAAGAGTGCCAGCTAGAATCAGCAAGCACAGATTTACAGCTCCACGGGACCCAAGAGGAAACTCTGTTTGGGAATTTCATAGTGGAAAGAAGGTCCATCTTTTTTTTTGTTGTTGTTGGTCATGGGGCTTGAACTGTGGGGCTTGAACTCCCTCAGCTCTTCAGCTCAAGGCAAGTGCTCTACTGCTTGAGCCACAGCACCACTTCTGGTTTTCTAGTGGTTTATTGGAGATAAGAGTCTCATGGACTTTCCTGCCTGGGCTGGCTTTGAACTGTGATCCTCAGATCTCAGCCTCCTGAGTAGCTAGGATCATAGGCGTGAGCCACCTGTGCCCGGATGAGGAAGGTCCATCTTAAACAAATATAAAAGAAGGTCCATCTTAAACAAATATAATAGATTTTTTTAAACCCAGATTTATATTTGCATATATTCTAGAGAACACTTGTTACAAATGAACACGAACTAAATGTTTTCTTGTCTCCTATTTAATGCTGGAGTTGTTCTTCTGCCTTTTTCTTTGGACAGAGTGATTCCCCTTAAAATGGAAAGCAAAAGTACTCAGGGTCCAGTAAGTTTCAGTGGACCGGAGGTAGACAGTAGATAGTGCACGACTTCTTAGTGAAACTACACATATTTCAATTTCACAGCAAACTGACTGCCTGGATAGAGTACTCTGCCTCAGTTTCCTTGCTTTCCACTTTCTTTAAGATGATTGTTTTTTTAACCCTTCCTCACTGACTTTCCTAAATTAACTTCATTTGAATCAGTTTGCTGTTGTAAAAATTCTCCTGTGAAGGAAAGTCTAACTAATGCCCTTTATTATTTTGACCAGGCCACCATTTCTAGCTTTTTGCTGATTCATTGGAGATTATAGTCTTATGACCTTTTCTGCTCAGTCTGGCTTTGACCACAATCCTCAAATCTCATCCTCCTGAATATCTAGAATTACAAGTGTAAGCTACCAGGCCCGACTTTCACCTCTGCTTTTATATGTTAAAATGGGCTTAACATAAACAGGCACATGAATTCAATGGGTAATTTGTAGATTTTCAGCAATCTAAGTCAGCAGATGCTCAGACTGTGGCAGTCCTTTGGTCCCAAATGTCCCCTTCGGCATTGCTCCTAAAGCAATCTCATGGATCTTGGGTTTGGGAGGTGGAAAAGGAAGACTGGGAAGACAGAAGAGAGTAAGATCTACCACAGTGCTGGTGGCTGGGGTAACTCCTTTTTTGGGGGGGGGTCCAGTTGTGGGGCCTGAACTCTGGGCCTGGGCGCTGTCCCTCAGCTCTTCAGCTCAAGGCTAGCACTCTACCATTTGAGCTACAGCGCCACTTCCGGCTTTTTTCTTTTTGCTTATGTGGTGCTGAGGAATCGAACCCAGGGCCTCCTGCATGCAAGGCAACCGCTCTATCACTGAGCCACCTTCCCAGCCCCCTGGGGTAACTCTTGGTACCCCGTGTTTACCTCCAGGATTCAGGTGGAAAGTCTAGCTCTCTCTAGTTTTAACACAAGGCTGTCTGCATCTTTGCCATCTGGACTGAGGGATGTGCCATCCCATTCCTTCTCTCCGTGTTGGCAGCGGGCAATGGCTGGAGGCTCCCTGCTTGTCCCAAAGTGGTTCCTGCACCTGGGTGCTCCCCTCTCACAGTGAGCCTGTCCCTAACTCTTGGCCTCCTCCCCAGGGAGCCAGTAGATGAGGTGCTGCAGATCCCCCCGTCTCTGCTGACATGTGGAGGCTGCCAGCAGAACATCGGGGACCGCTACTTCCTGAAGGCCATCGACCAGTACTGGCATGAGGACTGCCTCAGCTGCGACCTCTGTGGATGTCGCCTGGGCGAGGTGGGACGGCGCCTCTACTACAAACTGGGCCGAAAGCTGTGCCGCAGAGACTACCTCAGGTGCCTTTCTTGCCTCTCCTGGGGCACGTCTGGGTGGGGGTATGTGGGGCACATGCCCAAGGAGGAGGCTGAGCCTCTTTCTCTGCCTAGGCCATGTTTCAGAGACTCCCTCCTCATGGGTGGGAACAGACTAATGTGTGTCAAGGCAAGAGAAGGAGAAACGGGAATTCAGACTAGGGATGCAATTCTGGGGTCAGACTCAAGGATAGGGTTGGGGAGGGGTACACAAGGGATATCATAGGATCATGAGTTTTTAATTGATAAGCTTGGGGTGGGGTGGGCTCCTTTTTGTTTGTTGTGCTGTACGGAGGCTTGAACTCAGGGCTGTGTACTCTTGCTTGGCTTTTCCCCTGGAGGTTGGCACTCAACCACTTGAGTCACAGCTCCACATCGGGCTTTATAATGACTAACTGGAGATAAGAGTCTTTCAGATTTGTCTACCAAGTGGGCTTTGAACTCTGATCCTTAGATCAAAAACCTCTTCACTAACTAGGATTACAGGGAGGAGCCACCAGCACCTGGCTGGGGGTGGATTCTTCAGAGCTCATTTGAATGTGTCAGCACACACACACACACACACACACACACACACACACACACATTTCTTTTATATGACTGCAATACTATGTGATGAGAAATTTAAAGATAGAAAATGTTATTCATAAACTGATTTGTTGAATGGTAACTCCTGTGTACAATTACTTAAAGATAATAAAATTATAATTTAATAAAAAAAAAAGCAAGCAAGCAAGCATGTTCTCAGCAAGGAGCATTGACTCTCACAGTAGTAGGAAGGCAATATTCTCTAGCTACCAAGGAATACTGAAGTCAGAGGAGCTTTCAGTCACAGCCTCATTGCTTCCTAGCTCTGTGACCTGGACCAAGGTACTTAATCTCACTCTTGTCATCTGTGAAATGGGAGTAATGCCATTACCTCTTCCAAGAAGTGGAAAGGATTCAATGATTTACCACATGTAAAGTTCTTGGATTAGGCCAGTTGTCCATGGCTCATGCCTGTAAGCTTAGCTATTCAGGAGGCTGAGACCTGAAGATCACAATTCAAAGCCAGCCCAGGCAAGAAAGTCTGTGATCTCCAATTAATTACCAAAAGCCATAAATGATGCTGTGGCTCAAAGTGGTAGAGCACTAGCCTTGAGCACAAAAGCTCAGGGACAGCTCCCAGGTCTAGGATTGGCACGTGCATGTGCACGAGAACATACACACACAGACACAGACAGACAGACAGACAGACAGACAGACACACACACACACACACACACACACACAAAGTACTTGGCTTGGCACATGAGTATCAGAAAAATATTTGTTGACTTTATAACCTACTATCATGACAGTATTCTGGTTTAAAAAAAAATTCTGGTTGTGTGTGTGTGTGTATTAGGGCTTGAACTCAAGGCCTGGACTCTGACCCTTAGCTTTTTCACTCAAGATTGGTACTTTACCCCTTGAGCCACAGCTTCACTTCCAGCTTTTTGGTGGTTTATTGGAGATAAAGAGATTAAGAGTCCTGCCCAGACTGGCTTCAAACTGCAGTCCACAGATCTCAGCCTCCAGAGTAGCTAGGATTTCAAGCATGAGCCACCAGCCCCTGGCTATTTTCCAAAGTTACAGATGAGAAGATGGAAAAATTCAAGGATAAAATAGGAAGTCTGTAATGCCACTGAGACAGAAGCTGAGGACAGTGCTCCTGCCCTGGGTAAACTCTTGGCCATGTGAAGGATCTGGCACTCAATGAGTGCCTTTGCCTTGAGTGTTGTAGTATCTCTAGTTTCATATAACCTGCTGTAGATGCAACTTTGTGCCCTCAACTGTCAGAGCTGCTCAACGGTGTAGCTTTCAGCTCTAAGCCATCTTCCCATGGCAGAGGCCCCGCAGAGCGTGCAATCCTGATACCTCAGGGCTACTCAGCCCACAGATACTTGTTTAGATTTTGGTTTTCTTGGCCACTCGACACCTCTTCCCTCTAAATCTGCTGTCAGAGCATTATACATGGAAATAATAACAAAGCTGCAGGTAATTCTCCAGGGAAGGAAGCATGTCAGCTTTGGGTCCAAAGAATTAGCTTTGCTTCCCTTCTAAATTTCCTGATAAAGTCCTTGCAAATTGAGTGGTTTTTAAAAAAGAGAAGAGTTTTTCAGTGATCATAATTTTGTTGAATTTCCTTTTTCTCCTTTCTTTTTAACTCACAAGGAAATAGAACTGGGATAAATAGAGACCTGGTTTTGCTCGCTCCCAGCCTGCCAAATCAGTCAGAAAGCAGACGGGTAAATGATCCCCACTGGGCCCCTCACTATATCCCTCTCCAATCATTTGAATCTTATTAAATGAAGTCAGATAGAGTAAGGTCAAAAGAGCTGAGCATCTCTCTCTCTCTCTCTATGGTTTTATATAACGTTCAAGAATAGAACCAGTGCTGCTTGGGCTTGTTAATCTTTTTTCTATTTTCAAAAAGGAGAGGAAAAAAAAATAGTCTGGGAGAACCCAATGTTAATTAACTTGTGTCTTGGTGACATGAAATAATTCTTCTCTCCTTGCTACATTCCCAGGCAACATGTTAATTAACTCTGTGTTACCGCAGTCATTCGCAGACCTCCTTTAATATTTATATTATTGTTATTAAAATGGGCAGCAGAAAGCTTATGACATGACACCTCTTGACAAATGAGAAACATGCTTGTTTGCTCTAGAGATGGTCCTTTAGCTGTGGACTTGTTTACTTCCATTCTTGGCCTATCTGGTGGTATATTTCAACAAAGCAAGCTAAAGGAGTTACTCTGTGGGTTCTCTGATGGGGCTGGGGTCCAATCTGTCTTCTAGTATAAAATCTCCCCTTAAGGGTTTCTAAAAACTGACTCACCCAGTGCAATTTAGCAGAAGGAACCCCCCCCCACACACACACATAGAACCTGCACCTGCTGCTGTTATATGGTTGGGAGCCTCACAACAGCTATTTATGAGTGTTCAATCTCCTGGATCCAGTTTATACCAATTTCCTGCCTGTGATTCCACTTTCAACAGCCAGGCCCAACCTAGACCCTGCTGTCAGAGACACACAGTGCAGGACTCCTCAAGCTCTGCAGTCTTCCCTGGAGGCAGAGTGACTTGGAAATATAACATACCACTCCTGAGCATGAAGCCCAGGCTCTCTCTGAGGCATGCTCCCAGTACTCTCCCCCCCTACACACTTTCCCTGGAGAACATCCTTAATCCATCACTCAGGAGGCTGAGATCTGAGGATCACAGTTCAAAGTCAGCCCAGCAGCAAAAACCATGAGAATCTTATCTCCAATTAAAAAGCTGGAAGTGGAATTGTGGTAATGTGCTGATCTTGAGCAAAAGGAGCTCAGGGACAGTGCGTAGGCCCTGAGTTCAAGCTCCAGGAGTGGCACACACTACACTACACACACACACACACACACACACACACACACATCACATCACATCACATCACATCACATGTACATAAATCATTGCCTCAGGAGCTGTTTCTGGGATACCCAGCCCAAAACACTGATTCTTGGTGCCAGAGGTTAATGCTCAAGTCAAGTGTCAGATTGTTTGTTTGTTTGTTTTGTTTTGTTTACTATCGCTAGAATCTGTGGGTATTTGACTTGGGAGGGACTTCTGCAGACTTCTCTTCCAGTTCCCTTATTTCACAGGATAGGACACAGAAGGCTGGAGAAGGGACTGTCATTTGCTCACCTGGCTAGTTAGAGGTGAGGTTGGAACTTGAGCTTGTCTCCCAAACAATAGCCCTCTGCCCTCACTTTCATTAGTAGCTTGTCATTTGCTCCCTGACTCTCCTTCCTAAAGAATCTCACACGCCAGGCTGTTGGACTTAATTCCTTCCCAATGTTTTGTGGACCATGCATCTTTGCTCACTCCCAAACTTAACTTACTGCATAGTCAGGACACCGGAACTCTCTTTCTACTGAGTGACCTCCAATGTTGCGGTTACCTGCCGCTTCACCATCTGCTACAGTGGGATAAAATGTTCTCCACTAATGAGTGTGTACCCAAGCAGCGCTCTGAAAACACCCGGAGATCTTCCAATGAAAAGCAGGATTCCCAGGGAAATGAGCCAGCCCTGGCACACCAGATCATCTTTTCTTGAGACCATACATCTGCTCCAGTGTTGCAAGAGCTGGCAGCTGCTCTTAGCTCCCCTACCACCCCTCAGAAAGCACAAATGATTCTCTGATTTTCTGAAGGAAGAACTTCCTAAACAATCAGTGTTGGCCTGAAATAGTCCTAGGGTAGTTTTCACAAGAAAACCTCTGCTAACGTGGCTATGGGATCACCCCAGGTGAAAATGATCCTGCAACTCTCCCAGTAGGAGCCAGGCTCCACTGGCAAATGTCTGTAATCCTAGCTACACAGGAGGCTGAGATCTGAGGATCATGGTTGGAAGCCGGCTCTGGCAGGAAAGTCTGTGAGACTCTTCTCTGCCAGAAAGCCAGGAGTAGAGTCATGGCTCAAGAGGTAGAGTATCAACCTGGAGTACTAAAGCTATGGGATGGTACCCAGACCCTGAGTTTAGCCCCCAGTACCTGCATACATGTACACAAACTGTAGCACAGTTGTGGCTGTGTTCAGACTTAACTGGCTTTGGCTTCCCCCTTGACCTGGAGTGATCTGACACACCCTGTGTGTTGCTGCTAACAGCCCAACAAGAGAGCTACGAATACTGCCCTTTTGCTCTGAGAAGTCACCGTTACTCAGCTGCTTCAGCATGGTCTGGACCTGGGAGCTGCAGTGTCTGGTTCCAGTACTTGTGTGATTCCACTCTTTGGGGCTCATTCTTCAGGTCTAGTCTGGGTCAGAGTTATTCATGCACAGACTGCCGGGCCTTCTTCCCAGTGTTTCCCATCCCTGTACCCACCCCAACCACGTCCCACCCTAACACTGAAGATTATCCATTTGAAATGTTCATAAGTCACCGAGGCAAAGGAGAGGGGGTTCCTCAGCAATTCAGCAGGGGGCTAGCGAGGAGCATGAAGGATTGCTGGGGGAGAGATGCTGTGTGTCCCACTGGGTCTCTGAGGCAAGAGGAACTGCACCGTGCATCTCTCCTGGCACTCCCTGTCTTCCAGCAGCTGTAGCCCTAGGGAATGATCACGTGGAGATGGGACTCTCAGCTTGGAGGAAAATTCAAGGAATTAGTGCCTGTTGACTTGGAAGAGATGCGTTTCTAATCTGCTTTCCCCTCTCTGGGTCCCCTAGGAATCTGACTCCAGCTCCTTAGGTACAACGGAAGTTCCCCTGGGAGGCAGTGGGCCTAGCCTTTATCACAAGTCACCTCAGCTCAGTCTTGTATACACTCACCCAGAGGAACCTAAGAGTGATTGCTAAAAGCAAGGGGAAGGTCAGGATAGGGAGGAATATCACCAAACAAAATGGCCAATGTCAGTCAGCCTGCCCTTTACTGCCTAGGAAAGATTCACGTTGGGTGCTGATGGCTCTCATTTGTCATCCTAGCTATTCAGGAGACTGAGATCTGAGAATTGTGGTTCAAAGCCAACCCAGGCAGAAAACTCCATGAGACTTTTATCTCCTGTTAGCCACCAAAAAGCTGGAAGTTTGGAGGTATGGCTCAAGTGCCAACACTGAGTGAAAAAGCCAAGCAAGAGTATGAGGCCCAGAGTTCAAGTTCCAGTACTGTATTAGCTCAAGAGAGAGACAGACAGACAGACAGAGAGACAGAAAGAGAGAGAGGGAGAGAGAGAGAGAGGAGATTCATTGGCTGACATCTGGGCCCAGTTTTTCCTACTTTGCTTAACCTCCATAGAAGCCCTCACCAGGTCTTTTCTTTCAATATTGTCCCTGCCTCAGTAACTGAGCTTTTTTCTTTGTTTCTTTTCCTTCCTTCCTTCCTTCCTTCCTTCCTTCCTTCCTTCCTTCCTTTCTTTCTTTCCTTCCTTCCTTTCTTTCCTTCCTTCTCTCTTCCTTTCTTTCCTTCCTTCTTTCTCTCTTCCTTTCTTTCCTTCTTGCCTCAGGCTGTTTGGCCAAGATGGTCTCTGTGCTTCCTGTGACAAGCGGATCCGTGCCTACGAGATGACCATGCGGGTGAAAGACAAAGTGTATCACCTGGAGTGCTTCAAATGTGCCGCCTGTCAGAAGCATTTCTGCGTTGGTGACAGATACCTTCTCATCAACTCCGACATCGTGTGTGAACAGGACATCTACGAGTGGACTAAGATCAATGGGATGATCTAGGCCAGAGTCCCTAGGCATCTTTGCAGGGAGTGTCCCCTGAAGGCACTGTCTCCATGGGGTCTTCACGCTTAGGCACTTTTGGAGACTCAAGGGTGGGGTATTTCTTAAGGGACAGTGGACCTGTATTGGGCACTAAGACATAGCAATTGAGTGATGCCTGTAAGGACCATCACTCATGCGTGGCAAATGAACCAGCCCTTAGAGAAATTGTGGCTACAGTCTATTGGTAGGAACTGACATGATTAGTGGGAGAAAGGAATATTTGAGGGCCAGCTGGCACCATGCCACCATGATGGAATTTCCCATCTACATATGGGAGCTCTTTGCAAAGACTTGATAGTCATTGATGTGTACAAGCTAGAGATGTACAATTGATTTCTTTTCTTCCCAGCATCTGTAAACAGCCCTGTCCAATCACTATGCTCCACACAGGGAAGGAAGGGCAGGGGAGAATGGCCATCTTCCTGTCCCTGGTCACCTTCCCAAGGCCTTGCGCTTTGGATCTAATGGAAACTGCATGGAGACCCATTTCAGTTGGGAATGGAAAGCACATCTTTTAACCAAACAAATGTTTAAAACAAGTCTGATGAATCACTGTTTTTAGACACCTTCATTTTGAGGTGAGGCGTTCCACAGATTGTTTCTATACAGATGTAAATCTAAAATAAAGACCCTCGAAATTGTTCAACTATTTTATTATCTTAGAATTATATCAAAGTATTTGTTGTGTGTAGTTAAAAAAAAAAAAAGACCGAAGACTTAATAAAAAGGACTGACTGAAACGTGTGGCATTGTTTATTCAATAATGATTTCCCTTTTGGAACCACAGGGAAATGGTTTTGTTTTTTCTGTTGGTAAGGTGAAGTTACTAAACAATTTAATTGTAGGTCAAATAAAAACTTTCATTTGTTGCAAAGGTTTTTATGAGATTTATTCAGGTTTCTATACACCTGGCAATTATATAACAGGTCATCACGTAGCTCAGAGGGGTGTAGAATAATTAAATTGTTATTGTAAAATGTGCATTCACTTTGGCATTGTGTGGAATGAATGGAAGACAGCAAGATCATTGCCTTTGGGAAACTTGTAACCCAGAAAGCACACAGATACATAAAACAGATTCCCTTTGGGAGAGAAGGTAATTACCTAGTTTGAAATGTGGCAAAGCTGCTGAGCTTGACACTTCGATTTTCCAAGACGTGTGTCTCAGGGTATTTTATGACAAGTGGTTAAGAGACCTTCCTTTGAGGATTTAAGGCAGGCACCTTGGCTTGTGTGTCCGCCTTCATGCTATCCAGGCATGAACTGGCTCAGAGCGCCACCTGCTGGTGATCACCTCTCAGCCTGTTAGCCCAAGAACGCCCAAGGGAATCAACGTAGAGGTTATATTTTCAATTATTTCATAAAACTATTAGAAAACACCAAATCTAAATGTGTTTAATTATAAAGATGATCCATCAAGGATACTGCTCATTAACTGTGATTTCTTTTACATGTTTTTTAAGAGGAGAAATAATGAAGTGATGTCTCTCCTGGCTGGTAAAATGCTGAAAGTAGTTGGGAAATTTGACTGCTTCTGGTGGCCTCTTTAAAAATGAATCTAATTATATTGCACCCAAGCTCAGATGGTGGTGGCAAGCGGCAGCTGGGGACCAGATGTTGCTCTAACTCAGCGGTTCTCAAACTGCAGCTCCTGAACCAGCAGGGACAGCGTCATCTGGAAAGTTGCTGAAAACACAGGTGCAGGAGTCCCACCTCCCACACCTGAATCAGAAACCCTGGGGAGGGTGCTAAGCAATCTTCATTTTAATAAAGCTGAGGATGGTTATGACTTACACTCGGGGGCTTGAACTCAGGTCTCATATTGTCAAGTGTGTGTGTGTGTGTGTGTGTGTGTGTGTGTGTGTGTGCTGGCATGGGGGCTTAAACCCAGGGCCATGGTGCTGTCCCTTTTGAGCTTTTTCACTCAAGGCTGTCACTCTACCACTTAGGCAATAGCTCCACTTCTGAATTTTTGATGGTTAGTGGAAGATAAGAGTCTCATGAATTTTCCTGCTGGAGCTAACTCAAGCCAAGATTCTTAGATCTCAGCTTTCTGTATAGGTAGGATTTATTAAGTGTAAACCTTTGGCACCCAGCTGAACATTTTATTATGTTTCTTAAAGCAAGAAGGGTAGGCTGGGAAGGAGGCTCAGTGGTAGAGCGCTTGCCTTGCATGCATGAGGCCCTAAGTTCTATTCCTCAGCACCATATAAGCAAAAAGAAAAAAGCCAGAAGTGGCACTGTGGCTCAAGCGGTAGAGTGTTAGGATTGAGCTGAAGAGCTGAGGGACAGCACCTAGGCCCAGAGTTCAGGCCCCACGACCGGACCCAAAAGAAAAAGAAGGGTAGATTCTATTCTTTGAAAATGTTAATGTTATAAATGTTGGGGATGAAAGAAGGATCAGGAGATTTGATAACTGCTTCCTATTCTGTATCCAGTACTCTTTGGTTTTAAAAATGCTACAAAAGATATCATTGAGCAAATTAGAATCTAAGTCGGTATATAAATTATGGAACTGTTTAACTTATACAAGGAAATTATATAAATGTTAAATTTAAGTTGATTGTTCTACCATGGGTACACAAGACAGTGTTCCTGTTGTTAGAAAATACATGGAAATATTTAGGAATAAAGGATCACAATGTATCTAACTTATTCTCTAAAGGTGGAGAAAGTGTGTGTGTGTGTGTGTGTGTGTGTGTACACTGGTTCTAGGACTTGAACTCAGGGCCTGGGCACTGTCTCTTAGCTTTTTCTCTCAAAGCTGGTGATGTGCCACTTCAGCTACAACTCCACTACCAGCTTTTGGCTGGTTAATTGGAGATAAGAATTTCATGGACATTTCTGTCCATGGTTTGCTTCAGACCTTGATCCTCAGATCTCAGCTTCCTGAATAGCTAGGATTACAGGTGTGAGTGGCAAGCTCCAAGCGATATGTATGTTTGAAAGATAGAAAAGGAGATGGGGTAAAAATGTGGACAAAAGTTAAATTTTGGTAAAGGATATATAAAGTACTATTTTTATTCTTGTAACTTTTCTGGATGTTTGGAAACACTCCCAAATAAAACTTTTGTTTTTTAACTCAGGAATCTTGGCATTTTCTTGATTGAACTTTGGATTCAATTAGAAGAACATGGGTGATTTAAAAAAAAAAAAAGGCAAACACATTCTAGAATCATTGTTATTCCATTGGCCATTTGTCTCAACTTGAAAGTACTGTTCATCTTATGGATAACCCATTTCAAGCAAGCACTCTCCCCTACGTGTACATGTGTGTACACACACACACACACACACACACACACAGAGCATGGATAATGTGTTTAGGATTCATTTAGTGCCAATTTCTGAAGCAGGTTATTTCTCAACTATATAAAATGAATTTACTAAAACTTTCACATTTCCTTTGTAATTAAGATCAAGATTTAATGATCTGGCTTTGAAATGTGTGTACTGCCGAGGAAGGACTCTAAGCTATCACATTTGCATGTACATCTAAGAACTGAGTTAAAAGAAGTTTCAAAGCACTAAAGTCAGTTTCAGTCTCTATCAGTGGCCATGTATTAATTTTCCCAGAAAACCATCATTTCTCTGAGTTAATAGAATCTTTGAAGCTAAATAAGTCAATTTCCATTGTCACATTGTGATGCTTTTGAACTTGGCTTACTCAACTATTTTATTTGATGGTTACCCTGAAGATGGCTTTGTGGTGATCTTAAGAGAACCAACAGCTGCCACATCTGACTTAGTTTCCCACCCCGCATATTTATTCTAATCACTTAATTCTACTCATTAAGTAATGAGGCTAATGTGGCAAATGTGCCCCTTTTGTTAGTGGTTAAGACAGGTAATAAAGACATTAAGATATAATACTGAAATCAAGAATCCTGATTTTCCAACAAATTAGGAATATATCTTTCACCAGACCTCAGTTTGCAAAATGAACAATTTAGTTTCTCTATGGGAATTTGATATGCAGAATTTGGCTTACAGATCGCTAAGTACAGAAATTAAGAGTAAGCATTTGTGGCTCATGGCTATAATCCTAGTTACTCAGGGTGCTGAGATCAAAGAATCAAGATTTGAAGTCAGCCTAGGCCGGCAAATCCACGGGATTCTTACCTCCAGTTAATCAGCAAAGAGTCAGAGCTGAAGGTATGGCTCAAGTTGTAGAGTGCTAGCTTTGAGCAAAAAGCTGAGAGAGAGTGAAAGAGGTTGGCCATGATTTCAAGCCCCAATACACACATACACACACACACACACACACACACACACACAAATGAGTGAGCATTTGTGATAACTAGGTCTGTAAAATGTCTCCATTGATTTTTGACTCCTAGCTTCAAGCCCACATCAAATAGGATTAACATCTAACCAAGAGATCTGCAGAATTGATTAAGTATAATTTCTGAAGCTAGAACATAAAAGACCCTGTAAATTCTACTTGCTGTCTCTCAATCCTTCATTCTGGAGAAAACTTGCCATGTGGTGAAGGCATTCAGATAGCTATATGGGGACTACCTATGGGTGAAGCACTTTCAAGGCTGGCCAATAGCCACTATCTAATTGCTAATTATGCAAATGAAAGCAGAGACTCTACCCCCAGTCAAACCTTCAGATAACTTCAGTCTCATAGCCTGTCTTGAATCTCACCTTAAAAGACATTTCCAGAACCAGACTAAACTGCTCTTGAATTTAAAACCCCAGAGATTATGCAAAATAGATCATTGTTGTTTGAAGCCATTAAGGTTTGTGGGTAAGTTATTATACAACAAGCTATCATTAAAAGACATTTAGAAACTTTATGGCAATTTGAAGGAGTAATTTTAAGCCTGTGGAATCTAATGGTAACAATTTTGGGCTTTTATTTTGTATGCTTTTTCTAAATTGTATGGTCCTTAGTCATCTAATTTGTATTATATAGAAGTATGAGAACATGGTGGATTAAACAATTTAAACACAGAGAGTTTGAAAAACCCTGCAATTTTAGTAGAAAATTAAAAAGGAAATTACCCAGCATAACTTCTCTCTCAGTGAAAAACCATATCTCAAAGGTTTCCAGAATAAATTTGTGATTCATAGCAGCATTATATTGAGTTTTCACCAGTCAAATGAACTATTCTAAGTATTTAATGATCTTTACAACAACTTGAGACTGCAGATACTTCTATCCTGTGTGTGTGTGTGTGTGTGTGTGTGTGTGTGTGTGTGTGTGTGTGTGTGTGTGCCTGTGCTAGGGCTTAACTCAGGCATTGTCCTTTAGCTTTTAATTTAAGGCTGGCACCCTATCACTTGAGTCCTAGCTCTACTTTCTTTCTTTCTTTCTTTCTTTTGGTGGTTAATTGTAGATAAGAGACTCATGGACATTCTTGCCCATGCTAGCTTTGAATCACAGTCCTAAAGTCTCAGCCTCCTGGGTAGCAAGTTTTACAGGGGTGAGCCATTGGCACCTGGCCCACTATTCCAATTTTATAGCAGCATGGATTTAAGTAATCCAAGTCATCTGACTTCATTCACTTATATGCAGTAATTTTTATTTTACATAACAAAACAATACATGTTTTCTCAGTTGGAAATTACTTTTCTATTTATGTTAAGAAGAAAGAGACATAATTCTAAATCTAATATAACCTGTTTTGTTTGTTTGATTTTTGTTTTAAAGAGGCCAGGCACCCATGGCTCACACCTGTAATCCTAGCTACTCAGGAGGCTAAGATCTGAGGATCACAGTTCAAAGCCAGCCT